AGTCGACGAGCAACGAGTTACAACAAATCCTCTTCATGAATTTGTCAATTGGTTACTCTTCGAACTTGATGGACGCTTTACAACTATAGCATTTTCTCACTTTGGTGGAAGATATGATATGGTGATGGTTTTCCGAGAAATTTTTGCAGCAGGGATTGTTCCATCAATGATTCGACGAGGAAATAAATTATATGAAATGAAGGTTCCACGCAATAATAAATGCAATGAAGTAATATTCCGTGACTCTTACAACATTTGCCCAGTAGGTCTAGGTCAACTTGTTGGTGCTTTCGATCTACAAATCCAAGAAAAACAATTCTTTCCACATTTGGCAAACAATCCCAACAACTACGACAAAACACTTCCAAACCTCCCTCAAAAATCTGATTATTTGTATGGTGGTATGCTACCAGAAAAGCAAAAGAAGTTTGATAAGTGGTACGACCAAGAATGTCACCAACCTTTTTGTTTAAATGAAGCTCTAGCTGAATATTGCTTGAATGACGTTGAAATCCTAACAGAAGCATTATTAGCATTTCGCAGCAAATTTTTAGAAATTAGCCGACCAAAACAAACAACAGGTTCAATTGGAATAGATATTATACGTGATACAATGACAATAGCGTCTGCATGCATGAAACACTTTAGATTAAATCATCTGAAACCTGATCATTTGGGTATTGTTCCTGAGAAAGGATATGACACATGCGACAACCAAAGCACATTGGCTATGAAATATCTCGACTGGTATGCTGAAAAAAATTCTGTTGTGATTCAAACTGCCCACTCTGAGGAAGGTGAATATAAAGTTGCTGGAAGATTTAAAGTTGACGGATATATAAAAAGTGAGGATAGAGCAATAGAAGTAAATGGATGTGTGTGGCATGCGTGTCCAAAACACTATGGGGATCGTCCAGATTTCATATTACCCAGTGGAAAGACAGTTGAAGTTATTCAGAAGGAAAATAAAGAGAGAATTCAAATTTTAAAACAACATATACGACATGTCGACATAGTGTGGGAGTGTGAGATAAAAGATCTGTTAAGAAGAGATAAAAAAATGAAGAAGAGTTTTTCAAACTATATAGATAAAGGACCAATTAAATTACGAGATTGCTTCTTTGGTGGGAGAACTGGTCCATTTAGTCTTCACTATGAGGCAGACGATCAACATGATATTACATACTTAGACTTCAACTCGCTTTATCCATCGACAATAGCAACAACAGCATTTCCTGTGGGACATCCAAAAGTAATCATAATACCATCAAATGAGCAAAAAGTAAATTGGTACAACAGCAGCCATATTCCTGTGAAAGGAATCCTCAAAGTTTTTTTAATACCACCACAACACTCAGATATTCCAGTCATGCCTGTAAAATTCGATGATAGATTGCTTTTTCCACTATGTCGACAATGTTCACTGGATTTTCCCCGAGGCGCTACATTACATGAATACAACTGTACACATAATGGTGAAAAGAGGGGATGGGTTTCAACATGCACATCAATTGAATTGGCTGAGGCTTTAGACAATGGATATAGAGTGAGCAAATATTTTAGAGCACTTCATTATGATAAATGGGATGGTGAACTTTTCAAAGAATATGTTGCAGAATTTATGAGCATGAAAATACATTCAAGTGGGTTCCCAAAACAAATTGATAACCGAGAAAAAGAAGATGAATTTATAATGGAATGCAAGAAGAGATTTGGAATCAAAATAGAAAGAGAAAAGATGATGCCAGACAAAGCAATGAGGTACATTTCCAAGTTAATGTTAAATTCACTCTGGGGCCGCTTCAGTCTTAGGAATACTTTGACAAAAAGCCATATCACAGATTCGCCTGCCGAACTTAGAACATTTGCAGAGAATAAATCAATAGAAGTCAATTCAATAGACAAATTAACAGAAGACACCATTTTAATAACTTATGAGCCTAAAAATGAATTCATTGAGGAACACAACGCTTACAACATTGTCATTTCTCTTTGGACAACCTCAATGGCGAGAATAAAATTATTAAGAGCAATGCAGAAAATAGTCAGAACACCAGACTGTTCAGTATTGTACGGCGACACAGACAGCATTCTATTCGCTCATCCAAAACAACGCAAATGCCCTCTTTCCGATGGACCATATCTAGGGGATCTAGCAAAAGAATATGATGATTGTGAGATAAAAGAATATGTGGGGGCTGCTTGTAAGGCATATGGACTAAAAATGATAGATAGAGAAACGGGCCAAGAAAAGACATCACTGAGAGTTCGAGGAATAACACTTAACGCAGATGTGTGCAAGAAGCTTCATTACAAATCATTCCGAGAAAGTGTTTTGGAATTTGGAAGAATGATGGAAAAGAATGAATCAGAAGGTACAGAAAATGATTTAATTTTAGTCAATTATCCCCATTTCATAAGACCCAATATTAAGAAAGGCATTGTATGTACCACACACATTTCCAAAAAATTTAGCCCTATTATTTTAAAAGGAATTGTTTTACCAAATTATAGAATTGTTGACTTTGGTTATAAATTGTAATATTGGCTATAAAATTTAAATTTAAACTAATTCATTTCATTTCCAAGTGAACAATTTTAAATATTTTAATTAAAAATTTATATTTGTTAAAATAATAAACTTTTTCCCTCAGACAAACTCAAATTATATATAGGATATAAAATTAAATTGTAAAAATTCAACAAAAATTTATTTTCGATTAAATAGATTAGATATTTCATTAATCCGATTATATTTTAATTTTATCACTTTCCTATCATCATTGTAAAAACTACCTTTTGATGATATTGAAGCTGTCTCCCACTCATTTAAGTCTATGTCGATTGGACCATTATTTTCTTCAAAATTTTCTACAAATTTTTTAATTTTTTCAAACTTCTGTTTTTTTGAAAAATTTCTAGCTTGTTTTTCTGATGCTGACCTCTCGTGAGCTTAATATTTAATTAATTTGTAAAATTTATACTTAGGAATAATACCACATATATTCACAAATAATTACTAAATTTTACTATATATTTTTTTACCTCAAATATTTAAATGCTAGGTATTATTCCTAAGTATAGGTATTGAAATTTTATTTAAATTTTTAATCATGGTAAAATACTAGGTTTAATTATAAATCAAAATAATTAGAGAAAGTACACGAAAGACAGTTTAAAAAGATTATTAACGCCCATGACAGGCAATAAAAGATTTTTTCGCCCATTACAGGCAATAAAAGAAGATTTTCGCCCATGACAGGCAATAAAAAAGATTAGATAGAAAAAAAGAAATCGCCCATTACAGGCAATAAAAAAGATTAGATAAGGATACCTGAAAACTAAACCTTTCGGTTACTTTCTCTAATTATTTTAATTTATAATTAAACCTAGTATTTTACCAAAATAAATTATTAATTTTAAATTTGTACCCCTCTTGTTCCTAGTCTGCTGAACTAGAATATCCTCCTCCCCCTCCTAAATTTATGAATATTTTATGAAAATAAATAAATTAATACCTCAATTCCAAAACTCCCATCAATAATCAATGTTCCATTCCCCCCACTCCCCTGCGCCTCGCCAGATACGGCGAGGGGAGTGGGTGCCCCATCCGCCTCACAAATTACGGCTGGATGAGGCACGGGCTGGGTTCCTGAGGTCCCAGGACCTGAAGGGTCCTAATTAAAAAATAAAACAATAAACACAAAAAATAAACCTCATTTTCATTCAAAGGAGTGGGTACCCCACCCCGCCCAATTCCCTTCACCTCGCCAGGTACGGTGAGGAGATTGGGTGCCCCCTCCGCCTCGGAAATTACGGCTAGAGGAGGCTCGGGGTGGGTCCCAGGTTCCTCGTCAATCGGCTCCTGGAGTTCGATATCTCCAGCAATTGTTCGCACCTTATTAAAATAAAAAAATTTAAAAATTTACTCAAAAATACTTCATCATCTTCTTCATCTTCTCCATCAGGGTGGGACTCCTCATCCCCCCCATTCCCCTGCGCCTCGCCAAGAACGGCGAGAGGAATGGGTGCCCCCTCCGCCTCGTCAATTACGGCAGGAGGAGGCTCGGGATGAGGCCCAATCATATCCATAGGCCCACCAACATCCACCTTATTAAAATAAAAATTTAAAAATTTACTCAAAAATACATCATCATCTTCTCCAGCAGGGTGAGGCTCCCCACCCACCAACCCTTCCTCCCCTTCACCAAAATTGTTTTTCCACAACTTCTCCCTCCAGAACCTCATCATATTCTTCTTCCTCTTCTTCCTCATCAGCATCGAGAAGAAAAAACTTTCTTTTGCCTCCGCAAGTAAAGCATTTTGTAATAATTTTGCTCACTTGGTTCTTTTGAAGGAATTCATAGACGAACTCATTAATTTGGTCAATAGTTGTCCATTGAGCTTTGTCATTGATGAAAGATACCTAGAAAAATGAATTTACCGTATATGCTCGAATAATTATCCTGGGTAATTATTGTTTCGACCTCTCGCTGAAGGGGTAATTAAACAAGAGGATGGGCTAAATTTTGGGTATATCTCACTCAATAAATCGAAGAGAAACTCCATTTATTTTTTGAAATTGATTCTTATAATGTTCAATAATTAAAATTGACAATGATTTTTTCAATATTTTTGAAATTAAAGAAGGAAAGGGAGGGGGTAATTATTTGAGAGAGTAATTATTCGAGCATTTACGGTATTTAAAAAACTTACAAAAAACTCAATTATTGTAGAGTTTTCGCACAATTGGCACTTGTAGTAGCGGGCTCGTAGTATTTTCTTATATCCATATTTAATAACCTCACAATTATTATTTGAACACTTTGATCTATATATTTTTCTCTTCTTCTTTTTTCCCCCAAAAAATCTAATCATCAAATTAATAAAACAATTTTCTTTTAATTTATAATAAGAAAGGGTACGACCATCCTCAAGTTGCTTACCACCAAAAATCTTTAAATTAATTTTAAGGACATGTTTTCAATGTATTTTAAAACTTAAGTTACCAAATAAAATTGTTCATATGGAATTCCTTCCTTGTCTTGAATTTTTGCCTTGACATTCTCAATAGTATCAGAAGGTTTAACGTCGATTGTAATTGTTCTTGAATTCGTAATATTAACAAGTATTTGGAATGTAGCAGGAAGTTTATTGCCACATGACATGTCAACAAATGATCCAACACGGTCACTTTTGGAAAGCACAGCTGCGCGAAGACCACAGGATTCGATATTAGAAATGGAGTCAACATCGCTTTCTTCTTCTAAATTTAATTAAAATTTAAAATCCTTAAAAAGAATCATATTCAAGAAATTTTAGTTATGAAATATTCAAAACCCGACACGACTTATTTCCCTATTAACCCCTAAAACCCAGAGCCGAGACACAAAACCCGGCCTTTTTCTATCTGAATCCCGATCCGGCAAAAATTTTGAAAACCTGACACATATTTCTCGGACTTGACATCCCTGTTATATATTCAAATTAAATTTTAATAAAAAATACCAATGGATGAGAAAAGAATGTCATTTGCAACATGTGGAGAATTGTCAGGCTTCGAATCAATCTCCCAACTCCAACCATAAATCTTTCCATTATCAGCATTCTCATTTCTAAAAAACACTGAAATTATAAAATATTTTAAGTTAAATAACCCAAAGACACGGAAACGACAAGTCTCATTCAACGTCCATGCATCCTCGTACAAAACACCAATCTGAAAGATCAGTTAAATAAAAAAACAATAGAAAAAACCATTGGAATTCGTTGACTGAAGTTCACAGCAATAGAACCAAATGAATAAATTGGAGTAGATTTTGTACACACCTTAAAAAAGAAACATTAAATTAAACAAAAATATTGAATAGAAACCTTGCTTCCAATAATTTTCGTTCCAAATGATTCAAAAGCGACTTGTTTGCGGGCAAGTATTTTTTCCCATATCTTCTTGCTCTCATTAAACGGGTAAATTCCTCTTAAATTAAAAATTTTTGAGACGTAATTTTAAAAAACAACCTCCAAAATATATTCCCATTTTTTGTCAAAACAGCACTATAAAGCGTGCAGCAGGGCAATTTGTCGATATGTTCTAATTTATCTTTGAATTTAAAATGTTAAAAAAGAAAAATTTTTAAATTTAAACCTTCACCCTTGCGTCTAGCCAAATCACGTGAAAACAAGTATTCGTAGCCATTTCCAGCAGAATAAATGCTATCACTATCAAGTAAAGCGGCTCGTGCGGCACCACTTCCATAGGAACGAAGCCCAGCATCGAACAAAGAAATCAGCTCTTCGTGTGAATAGACCTCACTTATGTCATCGCGAGAAAGTAAATTGTCGATTGACTCGTTGACATTTAAATTAATGCGTTGTAATTCACGAACAATCGCAGCATGCGATTTGCCTTGTAAAACAACCTAGAAATATCTTAAGAAAGCATGAAAAATAGAAAAAACCTGGCATTGCACGATTAAATCTTTTGGAACGGAAGAGGCAGAAATCATTGGTCGAGGACGATTTCTATCAATCACAACTCCAGTGAGGCAAAATCCACCGGAACAAGTCCCTGGACGTGTCATCATAATTCGCTACAAATAAATTTAAAATTTGTAAAAAAAAAGCAAAAAACAAACCCGAATTTTTGCAGTCCGATTTGCGGCGTTTGCAGCAGCATTTGCAGAAGCTGACGCTGGATCAGAGGAACCAGCAGTGGTGGTAGCTGGAGCTGTTGATGAACCAGGACCGGATTCATCTCAAACAAAAAAATCGTTTTAAAAATTAAAAGATTAAAATACTCTTGTCTGTCGGAGCGGTAGATTCAATAGTGTTGGCAACAATCTCATAACGAAGACGAGCGACTCGATGATCCTAAAAATGTATCAATAGACGTGGGGATACATTGAGCTAGTTGTTGGCTCTTAGAAAATCTTCGAAAATCCGTAATTAGGGTTGCCAAAATGGATCGACTCGGACCGGAAGATAGAGTCGGGCCTAAGTTATTTGGTCCGAAAAAGACTCGTACGGCCCGAAAAAAGTCTCGCCGTCGGCCCGACTCGAAACGGCGTTTGCAGTCCGAAGAAATAAGGATTTGTAACAGTCCGAAGAAATACGGATTCGAACCGACATTAAATTTTTTTGGCATCCGTGGCCGCCCCAAAGAACTAACCCTCAACCCTACTTTGAACTAAAACCTTGAGAAGGAAGGCAACATAATTATTCCCAGCAGTAACTTGCAAAACATCTTCAGCTGGAATTTTTCGAAGCACTGTACATCCCGGCGAAGTAGAGCAATAACCTTTATTTCGTTTTTCTACACATTCTTTAATCCTGAAAATCTCGAAATAATAAAAGTAAATCAAATTAGAAACCTCTCAAGCAAAAGATTCTCGTTGCCCGGAAGCGTATGTGTGAATATGAAAAGTTGTTTGTCTTCAGTCATAAATTAAATTAAAGGAAAAATTTTCTAAAATAAAAAATCAAAAAAATTAAACATAAGGGTGACCAATCCAAAATAGGGAAGAAAAAAGTTGTTATGGCCGCGCGCCTAATCAATTTTTTACATTGTATAATTTCGTGTCAAAATAAATATTTTTAAAAATAAGCAGGACACGGACACTTAATCGCGGGCCACTTGGTCGCAGGCCACTTGTCATTAAATGTCGGCAAAATGCATTTCCGGGATCCCGAGTCGGGATTTTTTCTCAACCGATGCCGGGACAGGATCCGAGGGCTAAATCCCGAAAAAAATCCCGAATTTCAAAAATCCCGAAAATAATTATCCGGGATCCCGCCCGGGATTTGGGATTTTTTTCAAAATAAAAAATTTTAACTTTTTATGAGTAGAATGCATCAAAATGCTGCAATTTATATGTAAATGAAATTAATTTGTAAAAATATCAATATTTTTTATAATTGGAGTGGCTTTGTTTAAAAATCCCTCTTTTTGCGCCGCTGGTTTAGATTTTGAGAATTTATGAAGGTCAAGTGGGAACACCCAGGTTTCAGAAGGCAAAATCTCCGCTATTCCCTTAGATCCCTTGAACTGTCCGGATATCATTAAAATCCACATAACCCCATTCAAATCCTCCTATATACACAAGTCTTCATTCTCAGCACCGCAGGCGAAAATTTTGAGAAAATTGAATATTTCTAATTTTTTAAAAAAAAGGGGGCGTTCCTAGGCGTTTTTCAGAAAATGATCAAACCTATCATTTTCCGCATTCATTTTTAAAAATTTTAAATAAAATTTATTTTAAACAATTTTATTTTAAATAAATATTTTAAATAATTTTTTATCCCCACAAATGTATCACTCGAGGGGTCCATTAAAAAAGCCTGTGCCTGAGTGCGGTAAATTTTTTTGACACCCCCGAAAAATATATAGACCCCTCCCGAAGAAGAGGGGTTTTGCGCCAAAACATTGTTTTTTCGCGCACAATTAATCCAAACCCCTCCCAAAGGGAGGGGTTTTGCGCCAAAATTTATCTTTTCGCGCAAAAAAGTGCCCTCTAGGCACGGATTTGGCGGCATCTTCAAAGAAAAAATACCGCACCTCAGGCACAGGCTTTTTCAATGGACCCCTCAAGTTATACATTTGTGGGGGACTTACTACTAATAGAGCTTTCGATTGGTATATAGAATGTATTTTTTGAATGAAAAATTAAGAAATAAGAAAAAATTTTCTAGCGCTTCCATACTTTTTTCCACGACTGTATATTGAATTTATTAAATTACTAATAATATTGTTATTCTCTTTTTTAAATAAAGTTTTTTAAAATATTTACTATATATTTGTGTGTTTGTTTAATAATAATGGTTTTAAAAATTGATCATATGAATTATTCAATTTATTATTTTTTATTAAATTATGAATGACATTTCCAAAATTCAATCAAGTTTGACGACTTAAAGCAGATTGCATCCCAGGGGAAATAATCTTAAAAGGAAGGAAAAATAACATAAAATATAAAATTGTTTATGATTTTTGGCATAAATTTAGAAAAAAAAGTTAGGAAAACGTCGAATTTATTAAGCTGAAACGAAAGAAAGATTAAAAATATATCAGCAAGAAAACAATTGATTTTATTCGAATAAAATCTTAAATATAAATTAGAAAATAAAAGTCAATACTTAACTAAAATAACAACTGTTTTGGATTTTTAATTCATTTCATTTTTTAATAAGAAAAGGAAAAATGAATGAATAAATCCCTTATTTTTACCTTCAAAATGTAAAGAACCAAAAAACTATTGGAGGGGTAAAATATGTAAATAATGAGAAGAATTAATGGGTAAATTTAAGAGATGAAAAGGATTATGAGCAGTAGAATGCTAATAAAATTTTTTTAAAGAATTGAATTTAAAAGGTAAAAATACTGACATTTTTTAATTAAGGAATGTTCTGTATAAACTTTAAGAGTACGTCGACTACCGAGTAATCAGGAAAAGAACCGAGTTCGAGTAATGCCGAGTATTAGAATTCCGAGTTCCTATCCCGATTAAAGATGAAAAAATCCCGCTTGATCGAGTTGAGTAACTCGTATTCGATCGAACTCGGACGTACATACTCTACTTTAAAATATTTTTAACCAAATAATTTTAATGACAGAAATTAAATTTATATTAAAATATTAAGACAACAATAATTTTTACAAACAAAAAACAAACAATTAAATAATACAAATACACTATATTTATCAAACACTCTTCTTCTGGTGTCGTATATTCCCTTCTTTAATTTTCTTCTCAGGAAATTCAAATTGACCTCCTTTAAGTGATTGACGTATTACAGCTTCAATATCGCCTTCTTCTTAAATAAACAGAAATTTATTTTTTAAAAAATCATTTTCTTAAAACTCACGTCCTGCCGAGATGGTAATTACCGGAAATGTTTCCACGTGAATATCTTCGTTGCTCCCTCCTTTGTTTGATGGAATTGAAGGGGTTTGTTCGACCTTTTTTGCAGTTTCAACTCGTTCCGGTCCTTTTTCGACTATTGGCGACAATAATTCGTCAGAAGGTGGGCGAACAACCAAAATCGACGCTGGCATGCATTGTTCACTCTGAGAAGTTGGTGTCCTCTGAGTCCCGACCGGTTCCAAAGGAATTGGATAAAATGTCTGAGTAAGATAGGCAGCTGTCTCCAAGTCGTGTTTTGGTTCTTCCTTTTTTTGTTTTTGCTCGTTTTTCTTTTTGGATTTAGAATCCTTTGACTTGGATTGTTTTTTAGGCGATGGAGAAGGTGGTCGACTGGGCGAAGGCAAACTTTGAGTTTTCTAAAAAAAGATTTTTAAAGTTCAATTTTGTAGCAACATTTTACTTGTTTTATTTGGGATTTGACAATCTTTTTCTCCGGATATTCCTCCTCCGCCTGTCTAACTGCAACACAGCAACAAGTGATCAAAAAGATGAAAAGCCAGATGGACTGAAACATAACAAAGGATATTAATGTCCAAAACGGCCAGCGGTTTTCCAAAATGCATCCGTCTAAAATTTTGAAAATTTTTGGTGGAATTTGAACAGAGGATTAAAATGAACTTACCGGAAACAATAAGTAGCTGCATCAAGACGGATCTAAGAGAGAGAGGAGCTAAATCCTCATGATTTAAATCTTTTTATACTTAGAGATTTTACAATTTTAGCTCCCATTGTTTTATTTAAAAATATGTTAAGTTGATATATACGAGAATATAAATGAGTACGATAGTGTCATATCCAAATCAAATCCTCCAGACAACCCCTACTTATTAATTGTCCTTAAAATGTTTAGGTTAAATCCAGATTATTTTTTGGACTTCAAAATATGTTAATTTTTTTTAAGTAAAAAGATTATTTAAATAATTCATTCGAAAATCTAAAATAAAATAAAATTCAACATATGTATGTAGATTAAATTAAAATTTTATTTCTCATTCCTATTATTTCACTTTTCTATTAATTTTATATTAAAATTTCCACATAGAATATTAAATTAAGATTGACACTAACACTCTTTTTTTTATTAAAATGCTTTATTATATTTTTATAAAATTTTTTAAATTAATATAAAATGCCTGAAATTTAATGAAATTTTTACCTTTCATTCCAAATTTTTTAAAACTAACGACTACTCTTTCAGCTTTTTAAATATTTTAAAATTCATCCCCAATGAACTTTGCTCTCTTTGAGACGGGTTTTGAGAATAAGATTCGACATCGATATATGTAACCTCGATTTCAATAACAAACATTTTTGAACGAGATTCCTTCTCGATAGGTTTAAGGTCACCTAGGTTGGATACTTTTATTTTAAGAAGAGTGCTAACATCTTGCCCTCTCCCTCCCTTTTTCATTATATTTTCTACTTCCTCAAGCTATTTCATTTTATTCAACGTTTTTTGCCAATTCCTTTTATCTACTCATTCTTATTACCTAACTATGTCAGTATATAGCTTGCACATGAAAACCATTCTCTTTCATTTTGACTTACTCAATACCGCGCGAAAGCAATTACCCTTGAGCGGCTGGAGGACAAAGTCAGCAAACCTAATGAAATGAGCGAGACTGTTTGTAGAAATATATTGACGATGAAAGAGAGAATATGCCCTCCCATGAGGACTGACATTTAGTATAATTATTATTATACTTATCGATAAAATGGAAAATGAAAAACAAGTAAAAATGTACATACCATAACCTATTCAAATTTTAAATTTATTTTGTTTTGTTAACCAGCTGTCAGTTAAAAATCAGGCTTAAACACTATCCAAGGGCCGTATGTTCTATTAGATGGGTGTTTATCTTAGAAAGGTGGTATTGCTTTGGTATCCAACTAAATATCTTAAATAGTTTATCTAGGCTTATATTTAGATTTGGCTGTTGAAAACTACATACTAACTTTTCTTTTCTATTTTTAGTTAATAATGCATATGACCCTCTTTGTTCCAAGTATTTTATGCCAAATTAAATTCTCTCAATCCATCTCCTTCATCCTTTCCTTATTTTTTCCACCCACTCACTTTAACCTCCAACAAACTCCCTCACAATTTTATATACCATTAATTGCATTCTCGGCTTTTGTTTGCCTTTAGCGCATTTTTCAGCATTTCTTATCTTCACTTTCCAAAAGCATAAATATTTATACTACGAAATATTTCCTCTTAAAATTTATATTATTTTTAATTTTCCTTGAATTCTCAGTTGCATTACTCGAATTTTTTAATAATAAAAATAATTAAAAATTAGTGACCAGGCAGATCACATTATGTTAATGAGGGTGAGGGGCAATGAAGTTAGCTCAGGGGTATTGTTTAAGCAGCTTCTCTACCTAGTGACGAACCAACTTTTAAAAGTTCATATTCTTCTAATTTCCGACACCTTCGACTTCACCTATGTTCAACAAACATTTTTAATTACGTATTTTTAATTACGAATTTAAATTACGTTTTTAAAAATTATTTACATATTTAAATATTTCTAAAAATAGTTTTCTTTAAAAAATAATTATAAATTGTTTCAATAAATTGTATTTATTATCTTTTTATTTTTGAAACTATATTTAATTTATTTAAAAAAAAGAGAGAATTGCGTAAGATGTGTGTGTGTTTATGCCCTTTTTTCGCTCATTTCTTTCCGGCTGAGCGCTTACCATTTTCATAGGAGTAGTTACCCCCCCCACTTTGTTACAGTAGTGCAACAAAGAGGGAAGGGTGTGTAGGCACCAAAATGTGAGGGAAACTTTTATTTTCGTACCACCCATTTTTAGTAGTAACCCCACCCCCACTGTCCCATCTGTCCCAGTTGAACAGAGAGATGGGGGGGTGAGAAGGAAATGACCTTGACAAATTTCTTGTACAAGTACAAGGAAATTTGCGAGTGAATGAGGGTGATTAAACGAGAAGGTGGAGAAAGGTTCCCGTTACTAAATTTCTCCCACCTATTCCAGATAGTTAATTTTGAGGAAACTGTCGTCATTCAAAGGGAAATCTAAGGACTTAGATGAAATTTTCTGACAAAAAATCGTTGTATACAATACATGAAATGTATGGGAAAGTGTGGGTAGGATAAAGGGAAACCAAGGATTACTGTAGAAAGGGAAACTTCTACAGTAAAACATTAAATAAAGAAGAATTTTAAAAATTAAGGGAAAATAAATATATTGGCTGTTTCTCCTCCAAAGTTCATTTCCGTAAAAATAAAAAAATAACACCTTTGGAGTAAATTTTCTTTTCTACTGTTGATTTCGGGAATTTTTTAAAAAATTTTAAATTTATAAAAATAATGAAATTTTGTAAAAATTACGAAATTTCGCAATAAAAATCTAAAATAAAATTTTAAAACTTAAAAAACTAAAATATTTAATAAACAAAATAAAAATAGTTTAAAAGTCATATTAATTAAATAAAAATATAAAAGAAAAAAATATTAGTCAAAATTTTGAAAAAAATTAAAATGATTTTTAAAAATGGGCGGAAGTACAAATGTAAGGGGAATTTGTCAAAATACAGTATCTACCAATTATTACAGTATGTCAAATTACAAAACGTTAGTTGGCGGGAAATTCAAATTTAAAACTTTTTCTTAAAAATTTCGAAAGAGTGGTAATTTCAGTCTGGGACTGCAACTAGGAATTTTACTCTAGGACAGAAATATTTTGGACCGGTAATTTCAGTCTGGGCTTAATTATTTAGGGAGAGGGTCCAGAATATGGTTACAGAAAAGTCAATAGTGTAAATTCGAATATCTAATTAAAATAAATTTTAAAATTAAAATTAATGAAGAGCAATAGTGCAAAATTTAAGGAAAAATTTAAATGATTTAAAAAAATGTGCTGAAGTACAAATGTAAAGGAAAAATAATGAGACCTTGATACTGATAAAAAAATTTCGATACAAACGATCTTGAATCTACCGATTATTACAGTACGCCAAATTTAAATGCCAATTGCGGAAATTTCAAATTAAAAATATCATTGTGGGAATGAACTATTTAAAAATGGTCATTTCAGTCTGGGTTGAAATTGAAAATTTAAGTCTGGGGCTGAACTATCAATAACTGGTAATTTTAGCCGGAGATTGAACTATTTAATATGGGCAAATCAGGCTGTGACTGAACTATTTAGGATTGATAAACTCGTCTGGGGCTGAACAGGAAATTTCAGTCTGTGATTGAATTATTTAGGACAGGGAATTTCAGGCTGGACTAAAATAGTTACTTTTGGGAATTTCAGTCTGGGGCTGAACTATTTTGGGTACCGGATCTGGGATAGGATTATAGAATGGTTAAGTGTAAAATTTATAAAAATTGATAATTTTAGTCCGTGTCTGAAATATTTATGACTGGGAATTTGACTCGAATTTTAATATTTAGTACTGATAGTCTAAGTCTGGTGGCGAAATTTTAGGACTGGGAAGTTGAGGCTTTGGGTGTTATATTTATGATGGTAATTTGAGCCTGAACCTGAACTATTTAGGTGTGGAAATTTGAGACTGATCTATTTAGTACCGTGAATTTTAGACTGGGACTGAACTATTTAGGAATGATTTTGAGTTGCAGCTGAATTATCTTCGCAATTAGGTTCGGGATGTGTTACAGAACGGTCAAGATGTAGCTTTGTTATTTAAAAACTGCCTCGAAATCTCAGATGATTGATGAATGATTAACGAGATTGTTGTAAATATTTTTCTATCAACCTTTTTTACTCCCCATACAAAAAAAATAAAAGTGCAGACCTTAAATCTTTTTTAATTTTTAGATTGAAAAAAAGAAAAAAACTATTAACAATTAAAAAGCCTTAAAATGTCTTTTAATAACGGACAAAATGGACCTTCTGCAAGCAAACGTCCAAGACTCCTCATCGAGAAACCCATTTCCCACATATCCAATGACACACAACACGACGCGTGTGCAAATCAACCTAAAAATTATTATCGACAAATCGACTACGATACAGCGTTTAATAGAAAATACAAGATGATGGGAACAACAGGAAAGTTTATTATAGAAAAAATATCCGAAAACCCTGAAGAGTTATTGAAAAAAATTATTCAACAAAGTATGCATCAGACCATAGAAGCTTCAAGGAAGGAATCAATTGAACCTGACCGATTAGGAGCCATAATTTCTTCACAGATACTAGATAACGACATATGGATACCTATCAGAAAGATAGAGAAAGACACAATAGAAAACATACTTAATAGATTCCAACTAGTTTCTCAATCTAAGATAGAAAAGGGATCACTTTATGGGCATCCATTCACGATAAAAATTCAGACGCTAGGTATTTCATCACTTCCCACAAATCAACCAATTAGAGGACGCGCACCTCAGATAAATTCAGCAGCAATCGCTAATATAAATGTTGACCGATTAATAAAAATCTCAAACTTCGATAATTTATGTTTATTCTATGCCTTAGAAATAACGAGAAAATATGCTACTAAAGAATTGGGAGATAGAGTTAAATTTAATAG